ATACAGGAGGCGTTTGAGTTCCTAAATCCATTTGTCATCACTGAAAACTTTTCCCTTTACCTAGAATAAACCTATTCTAACTACAATTCCATGTTCACAGAGCCTTTGAGTTGATTTGATTAAGCAGATGGAAAATTACCCGGCTGGTCCACTGCGAAGGTATCACACAGACACACACAGACAAGACCCCTGGGGAGGCCATCCATCCCCAGCTCCCTCCCTGTACCCTGTGCCCTGTGACCTCTCCATCACTAAGGGCATGCCAAGAGCTGGTATCCCCAGGACAGCACTACTCTGGGCTACCAGAAAACCAGGTTGGGTTCTCTGGCACCAGTTGCTTTATTGGAAGTTGGAGGGTGCAGAGGGATGAGACACAGCAGACCGTGTGTCTCCCAACAGCAAAACTCCCCAGCCCATGAGCCAGGGCAGGAGAAAATGTCAGAGGTGCTGTGTGAGTGGGATGCAAGTGGCATCTTCATTTCATTCTCTGATAACTGTAGGGCTTCGCAATTACATCTGCTGATCTGATAGTCATTAGGGAATGATCAGCCAGTCATTGGCAGGGGCTGTTTGCCTTTCTGCTAATTAAATTGCATTTGATTTGCAATGAAATCTAATGAGTCGAGTGAGCTTGAGGTAGGCTCAAGTGAAGCACGGGTCAGCTCCACAGCCTTGCTGAGCATGAAGAACCACATCCCAGGGACGCTGCCAGGAACCACCCTGTGGCACAGGGCAGTGAGGGACACCTCTGCAGGTGAGCAGTGCTGTGTTTGTGGAAGGGGCAGGGCTCCTGCTGTGCTGCCACGCTGTGGACTTTGAGACTTGTACCGGTGTATTGGGTTGGCATGGCCAGGCTTTGGTAGTGGGGAAGTTACAGGAGTGGCTTCTGTGAGAAGCTGCCAGAAGCTTCCACCATGTCCAGCAGAGCCAGTCCCTAGTGGCTCCAAGGACTTGCCACTGGCCAGGGCTAGGCCAATTAGGAGTGGTGGTAATGCTTAAATATGTAATGAGATTACATATTTAAGAAGGAAGAAAAGAGGTTTTCGTGCAGTTGTAATTGTGGCCGGATAAGAGCAGAGTGAGAATATGTGAGAAGAAAGCTCTGCAGACACCAAGGTGAGTGGGGAAGGAGGGGAAGGAGCTGTTCCAGGAGCTGAGATTCCCCTTAGCCTGTGGTGAAGACCATGGTGTCCCTGCAGCCCAAGGACGGCACAGGAGTGCAGAGATCCACCTGCAGCTCCTGAAGGAGCTTATATTGGAGCAGGGAGATGCCTGAGAGAAGGCTGGGACTCCGTGGGAAGCCCATGGTGGAGCAGGATTCTGGCAGGGACCTGCAAACCTCTGGAGAGAGGAGCCCACACTGGATCATGTTTGCTGGTAGGAGCTGTCACCCCGTGGGGAACGCCCGCTGAAGCAGCCTGTCCTTGAAGGATCTGCCCCATGGAAAAGTGACTCACATTGCAGCAGTTTGGCTAGGACCGTTGCTTGTGAGCTAGACTCACACTGGAGAAGTTTACAGAGAACTATTCCCCATGGGAGGGACCCTGTGCTGGAGCGGGGGAATGCTCAGTCCCTGAGTAGTGTCCCATTCCTGTCTCCCTGTACCACTGTGGAGAAGGGGAAAGAGCTGGTAAGAAGGGGGGGGGGGGGGGAAGGTGTTTTTAAGGCTTATTTTGCTTTTCATTATCTTGTTCTGATTTTGTTAGTAATAAATTCAATTAATATCTCTAGAGCCTGTTTTGCCTGTAACGGTATTTGACGAGGGATCTTTCCCAGTCCTCATCTCAACTCATTAATCCTTTGTTGTATTTTCTCTCTCCTGTCCAGCTGCAGAGGGGAGAGATAGAGAGGCTTTGGTGGGTGCCTGGGGTCCAGCCAGGGTCAGCCCACTACAGCCAGACAACCTGTGCTGGCATGGAGTGCTCCTCAGGCAAGTGCTCCTCTGGCTGCCAGCCAAGAGAGAGACTGCGAGTGTAGCCCTGACTGCTGGCTGTGGAAGGGGCAGGAAACAGACCAGGGCAGGGAGCCCAGCACGGGGCTGCTGCTTCTCTCCTGCACCTCTCCTCACAAGAGGTGTGTCTGGCATCTTCAGTGGTCTGGGACACTGGTGTGATTTCAATAGAGCCCTGGATGTGTATTGAAAGGGGAAAGGCTGTTCTGGGCTCATACCCACCAGACCCCAGTGGCACTTGGGGAACCCTGTGGTCTCACTCTGCATCATCCAAGGCAGATGGACAAGCCTGGTCCTGATGTCTGCATGTCTGCTGTGGTGACCACACCACCAGCTGGTGACTTGTGCTGCATCTGTCACATGCAAAGGGACATCCAGGAGCCTCTAACACAGGACTGCTGCAGTCAGATTGATTGGGCACCCATGCACTCAGGTTTTTTTGGGATGGCCAAGACCCCACAGGTCCCGAGCAGCAAGTGGGACCTGGCTCAGAAGCTGAAATTAAATTGTCATCCTTGTGCCAGCCACTGCTACTTTTACAACCTGAGATGATCCCATACAGTCACATTTTACTTTTAAAAAGAGAAAAAATGAAAAATCAAGAGGATTAACTATCACATATGGCACAGACATTGTCTGGAAAGACCAGCTTAGCTTCCCTCTGAGCCCTTAAGCTGATATTAGCAAATACAAGCCCTAAACAACATTGGGAAGTCTAAATGGAACCCGGCACGATTGCATCAATTTAAAGAATCTGATTAAAAATACCATAAATATTCTTTAACTTATTGAAGGCAGCTGAAGGCAACAATGTTAGACAAACGATGAAGACACCAGCCTTGCTCCTCTGCTTTGAGAAATGACAGCTGCACTTTACTCAAAGGCTCTGGCAGCAGGAATTTAACACTAGAAAATATTTGAAAGTAGCTGGTTAAATTCAAAGAAAATAAGCTGATAGATAAGTGGAGAAACCCTGTATCACCTTGGCCAAGAAGGAGCTTTGGTGGATCCTCAGAATGGACAGTCTCCTCTGCAAACACTTCAAATGCTCTGTCCTACTAATGGAGAAGGGCAAGTCAGTAATAAGAACAGAGGAGATGACATTTTCAGACAAAATATCTCAAACATCACTGCAGCATCCCATCCGCCACTTACAGTGCCTTTGGTGCCTTCTAGTTTTCACCAGACAATGAGAAGAAGAGAATATGCCAGGTTCTGCAGAGATGGTCAGAGGGACAACAGATGAGTAGGTCCCCTCACAATGTGGGAGATACTCACAAAAGCTGCAATAAATGCCAGATTTGGTTGATGTCTTGGCAAAGTATGACACAGGGCAGACTGAATCCAACTTTTGTGCAGGAAAATCACACCTCAGAAATACTTCTCTGGAGGAGTCAACAAGACACTGGTGTTGGACCCCTAATCAGCTGGCAAGAGTCTATTAAAGCTCACAGGGGACAAGCTAGCATAGGCTAGGGAAGCTCTCACTAAGATAAATCACAGAATGATTCAGGCTGGAAGGTCATCCAGTCCAACCTCCTTTCTCAAGCAAAGTCCCCCAGAGCAGTCAGTCAGGATCATGTTCAGACAGGTTTTGAGTTCCTCCATTGCCTCTCTGGGCAGACTGTCCCAGTGCTCGGTGACCCACACAGTAAAGAGTGGCACAGAGAGAGAGAAAGGAAAGAAAGTCACCCAGGGAGGTCACTGTACTGACTGACAGGTATCCGGTAAAATGTCTCATCCACGTGCAGCAGGTGCCAGAGGGGGCAGCATGAGGAGAAGATCAGATCCACATAAATCTCTGTTGTATCTCCACCTTTTCAGGGAGGTGAACGTCCAGGTCTGGCCATGGCAGCCCCAGCAGGGACATGGCCTGAACAGGGAAGGAGAGAGAAGGGCAAGACGGAAGGTAGGAGGACACGGAGGCTTGTCAAAGATTTAAGATCTGGAACAGCATAAAGAGCATTAATAGAGATCTTGCATCACCAGCAGCCACCAGCTGCCAGTCTCAAACTGCTCCTCAGCCATCAAAAGCTCTCAGCACTTCCTTTGCTGCAACACCCCTCTGCTCTCTCCATCAGTGTTTGGGACCCTTGTGTCTGGGCTGTTCCCCACTGCACCAGCCTGGTCCCTGCCAGCCCCAGTATGTTCCCAGGGCCCCTGGCTGAGCAGCTGAAGATGGAATCAGCATGACAAGCAAAAGGGAGAGCAGAGGTGACTGAAGCTCCTTGCTGCAGGATGGACCATTGCTGAGTAGGTTAATAAACCCAGGAAGCCCTTAGGAACATTCAGAGAAGAAAAGTCCTTTCTTATCAGATATATGATGACATCTGGCCAGATTTGCTGGGGGGAACAAAGGAGCATTGGATGAGCAGAGACAGATACAAGCTTGATGGAAGGGCTGAGGGACTATGGAGGGCTGCATGGGGACCCACTGCCTGCTCTGCATGGATGGGGCTCTCACCCAGAAAACACTGAACTGTCAGCTTGTGTGCTCTGGGACCCCAGCTCCAGTGGGGGCTTTCTCTGTGTGGCGCCCAGGGGCAGAAACCACAGGCAGCTCTCCAGGTTTGGCTCCAGAAGATTCAGATAGCCATGTTCCACAACAGCTTGCAGTGGGACAGAGATGTCCCACATCTGAATCTTATCCTACCTTGGCTATGCCTGAGCTGTTAGATGACTCCTGGGGCTCCCAGGGAGCAGAGAGCTGCGGCCACTGCAGGGCAAGAGGAGGAAAGTGGTGGATGATGCAGATGGATGCAGCCCTCTAAACTCCAACCTCACACTCTGTGGCCTTTCTCCATGCATTCCCTCTTGCCCACAGGATTCCCAGCCTCAGTGCACCCTTTGCCTCACCTCTGCCTGGCCTGGTCCTGCGCCTCTGGGAGGCACCCAAGAGGGAAAATCTTGTGGCTCTGAAACTGCCCTCACTTAGGCAAGCTCAGCTGGGATCACGCCTGGTTGCTCGCCATCCACAGCCCCCAGGAGAACAACAGGAGGGACCACAGGGCCCAGCACCCCAGATTCTCCCCAGACAGCTACACCAAGATGTGGGAAGGGGTTCTGTTTATTTGGCAAAAAGCAGGGACTGTGTGATGGAAGGGCAAGGGATGTATCAGAGTCCTGACAACAGAGCTTGGAAGAAGGATGGTGGAGCAGGAGCCTGGAGCTTCAGAGTGTCGGTCTTGCATTGTTTGGCAGGAGCATCTACGAGCCAGTCTGCGCTGCCTGGAAAAAAGGGGCAAGAGGTGGTGTCTGGATGAAGCAAGACCAGTGGGACTCTCCATTAGGATCAGTGCATTCACCCCAGATTTGTAGGGTGAGGCATCTCCAGCAATGGATTTCTAGTAACCCCTATAGATGTGGTGGGAAAGCACAGGCCAGAGGAGGACAACAGCAAACATGTTTTGCATGGTGAGATACCAACCCACTCTGGCCAGGTTTGCCAGTCAACAAGCCCAGGGTCCCTTTGGCAGGGGCTGGTGTCCTGGCCCTCACTGCTCAAAGGGCTGTGCAGATATCTGTGTGGTGTTTCAGCCCACATGTCCATGTTCAGTGCCAGGCACTTCCCACTGGGGGTCCCTGGGCACTGCTCCTTGGGAGTTCCTAGGTACTGCTACCTAGGGGTCTCCACTGCAGAGCAGCATCCAAAGGAATGGTCCTACCTGTGTGCAAGCTCCAGCACCAGCTCAAACAACTGAACCCCAGAGGAACTCAAAGAGTTCTCGGCGGCCTTTGCCTTGGGGGCACCAAAAGGGTCAATTTCCAGGAGAGAACATTGCAAACACCATGTTGCACTGTGGCAACTCACCTATGGTTCACCAAGTAGGCATTCCTCTGTGGAAACAAAGAAAAAGCCTAAGTCTGCACTGTGGTCTGCAAAGTTCCATTTAGCACCCAAAACAGACTACTCAGAAGGAACTTGTGGGTTTCTCCTTGCTCAGTGTTCCCAGCAAGCGCATCACTGGCTACCAGCACTCCCTCCTGCCAGCTCAGACCACAAAGTGGTGGCACTGATGGGCTGAGCTGGTACCTGCCTGTGTGTCCCTGTATTGGCTCTGGGTAGTGCTCACCCTGCCTGGGTAAAATCCAGATGGTCTTGTCGGTGAAGCCATTCAGCTTGGCAAGTCTCTTGAACAGCAATTTGGTTTTGGTTCTCACCCACTGGCTTCTGCCTAAAGATAAAGACATGAGTTAGCTCCAGGCTGTGCCTGACCCTGTATCTCCTGGGAAGCTGGTATGTCCAGCTGAGGGTGGGATGGATGGCAGTCCATGGGAGAAGGCTGGAGGCACTGGTGGAAGTCCTGGAGACCAGAGGTGGCCAGGCACATGAGACACCCCACCCAGGGAACAAGAGGACCCAGAGGTCCTGACACCAGCACAGCGACTCTTCTCTTGGTTCCTGTCCCCACTGATTCTGTTCCATCTGTGCAGCAGGACTCCCACTCTCCACCCCTCTCCACCAAGGCCATGGACTTGCAGCACATTGCTGGGAGCCTGAGCCCCAATCTCCCATGCCACCTCAAACCACTGCTCCTTCCCTGCTACACAGTGAACACATGGTAGTCCCTGCCCTATTCCTGGACCTCACCCAGGGTAGGAGTGAAGAGGGAGACCCCCTGTCCCCTGGATCCTGGCCTTGCAGGACCCTCAGAAGCACCCAACAGCTCTGAGCAGTTCACTGCTGGCTACGCACTGTAAAGTCTCAGCATGTGCAAGGTCTTCCCATCTTTCTCTCTGGTGGCAAAGACAACCATGTAGGAACTGCCGTCGGTATCCACCAGCTGCACCGTCTTATTGCCCCTGTCTGCAAAAGGATATGGAGAAAAATTAATTACCTCCTCCTGGCAGCCCCCACGCTGCAAAGTGGCTGTAAGAGCATGAAACCCACCGAGCCCATCTTTCCTCGATACTCCCCATCCTGGTTGTCTCTCTTGCTAAGGCTTCTCTGAAAGCCTGGGGGTGCCCACAGACCACAGCAGAGCAGAGGGACAGGGAAGTGAGGGCAGAAAGGGCTGTGGATGGTCAGTGCAGGCTGTTGGCCAGTGTCAGACTGATCTTTGGGCTAGGAATGGTGGAAAACCACTCCTGCTCCATCCCCTGGGAACACCCACTCGCAGCCTCTTTGCGGAATGAACCTTCTTTTCCCCAGAGTTTGAGCTTGGTCTGAATGCGTTCATCCCAGAGGGAGGGTCTGGGGGGTCTGCCATGCTGGTGGGCCACCAGCCGTGAGGTGCAGCTGGCACCTGGATACAGAGGGATGTCCCACTCAGGACACAGGAGAGGCAGGCAGTCCTGAGGGCCATGTTCCCAGGAACAGCCAGCTGCTTCAGACAGGGATGGTGTGACATGCCTCCATCCTGCCCCAAGAGCCAGGCACCCCCACTCACCAGAGCTGTAGTATTCACCCGGGTTGTCTGTAGGCTTGTAGATCGATGAAAACTTCATACATCTCCCAGGGCTGCAGAACAGTGAAGGATGCTCCAGTTCAGGTGAAGTGACCCCCTTTCCCCTTCCCTATTCAAGGTTCACTATCCCAAATGTGGGACTTGCTGTTCAGAGATGGGAGGGTGTGGCCAGGGCAGGAGGGGACAGATACCACCCTTGGAACAACGAGTATTTGGGCTGGCAGGGGATAGTGCTGGCACCTGGGGATTACGCATGCCCTCACTCATGCTCTGAGCTTCTGGGATGAGACTGGTTCTGCTGGGAAAGTTCTAATTGTAGGGTCCTGTCCCATCCTCTGTGGTGGCACTGGTTGTAGCTAGTGTTGCCCTGAGCCTGCCCTAAAGATGGGGTGCCCACAGATGTCCCAAGCACCTGGTGGTCCTGTCTCAACCCCTGTCTAGGTCTTTGGTGAGTGCAGTGAGGTGGAGACCCACCAGGGAAAGTCCAGGGAGGAGGCTGGTAGTAAAGCCTGTGAAGAAAAGCATGTGGGACTTACGTGGGAATTGCAAAGGAGACGTTCAGGTCACCATTCTCCAGGACCTCAATGTTGGCCATCGCCATCTTCAGTTGGTCCTTTTTTTGGAGGTAGCTCTCAGAGTCAGAGGCCATAGCAGTGATGTACCATGTCCCTGCAATCTGGCAGTGAGAGTAGGTGCTAAGTCGAGAGGAGCAGTCTAGAGTATCCCCTCCTCAGGGACGAAGCCAGGACAACCTCAGTCCATGGAACACCCACATCCCATCCAGGCAACAAAATTCCCTCAGAGCCACCTATGCAGGAGCTGGGTGACTGTCCTCACCTGGGTGACAGCAAAGCAATGGTGGCTGTAGTGACCTCAGCTGTCCCCAGTACCAAAACACCTCTACAGTCCTTCCCGCGCTGCTGGTGACTGGAGACCACCCCTTCCCTTCCCTTCCCTTCCCTTCCCTGGATGATGAGGATCACCTTGCTCTCGTCTGGCTCCACAGTTCCCAGGTCCACCGCCTGCACACGCAGCAAGCACAGTAGGACCAGCGCCAGGCTCAGCCCCTCGGTGCTCATCTCGCCTCAGCTCCTCTGGCTTCACCAGTGGGATGGGGAGTGGTGCCGGGGCTGCCGCATATATAACTTCGCGCTCCCTCCTGGAGCTGGAGCCGTGCCGAGCCCCACGGGAGCGTCTTTGGGGTTGGCTTGGGCAGGGGGTGGATCCGAAGGGCAGAAGTCAGCCCAGGGTGAACAAACCCCTAGGGCACAGGGGGCTTTGCAATTGCCAGCCCCAAAACGGAGTTACAGGAACTGTTGCACTAGTGCTGAAATTTGGGATTTCCCCCGTTCTTTTAGTTCCTCGTGAAAGCACAAAGCGAGCGGTTGTTTTCCAACGGGCGGCTGGAGCGCTGCCAGGAGGAGCGAGACGTTCTTCCCGGCAGCTGCCCCGGGGCAGCCCCGTCGCCCAGCTCACCAAGGCCCCCACCTTCTGGCTGGCTGAAACGTGTCCCGGGGCAGCTACTGGGATCCTGCCCACACCCAGCCCTTCCCCGGCTCAGCCTGACCCGCGGTGCGTGCGCCCGCCTCCTCACCTATGCTGGGGCCGCAGGGTCTGCCGAGAGGGCTGCACCCTGAGCGCAGCGGGCAGAAGAAGGGGTTCATGTCGCCGTGGCAGTGTGTCCCTTCTTCCCAGAGTGTGATATCCCCTGTGGCATGGCGCTGCCAGGCTCCTGGGGTCACAGCCCAACAACTGCCTGGGCACTGAGGGACTCTGGGCCAGGGAAGCAGAGGGGGGACCAGAGACTGCCTTCGCTCTGCAGGAGGTGGAGGGGGATGAAAACTGCCCTCGGGGCTCAGGCCATCGTGTCCTTACTTTGGTCACATGAGGGACCAAGGGGGATGGCAAACAGACATGGGTGTCCCAGTCCTGTCATAGGCAGAGCCCTGGTGCCCCCCCACTCCCAGCTAGGTGGCCCAGGAGAGGACTGAGCAGGGAATGGGGTTTCCTGGGGGTGTCCCTGCAGGCAGCACTGGGCAGCCTGTCTCCTTAACTCAGAGCTACTGACTACCCCGCTGGGCTGTGCCAGCCCCTGTTCACCCTGGCTCCATTCTTCTCTGCCCTGGCAGCTGTAGGAAGGTGTAGGGACACCTTCCCCTTCCTCTGCTCCCCATCCTCCCCATGCTGGGCACAGCAAACATCACACCCAAGGGAGCCCCTAAAACCCGTGGGGCCCTGACAGAAAGGGTCAGCTCCAGGATTGTTGGGCTCAGCGTGCCTGGGGGCCCTGGCAGCACCCTACTCCCACCAACAAAACACCAAGCTCTGGGGCGGCTTCTGCATCTATTTATTTAGGAGGTTGAGGGTGATCCTGGTGTGGAGCAGGGGGTCTGGCAGAGCCTGGAGGATAGGAAGGAGCACCACAGAGTGGGTGCAGAGCCCATCATCCACTAGGTCTGGAAGACACATGGTCCTTCAGCTGCAGAGGTAGGACAGGGAGATAACTGGTCAGAGCAGGGCAAAGCCAAGGTGACAGCCCCCAGGTAGGCAGGTGGGGGATCTCCCAGGGCCTGCAAGTCCCTGCTCAGCCAAGACCATGCTGGAAGGGAGTCACAGCTTTCCCTGGCCACACTCACTTGATGTCCCTGGTGCATTGATCTGTTGGAAAGCAAAGAGAGGGGTGAGTGTGCCATTGGCAGTACCCTGAGCCCCTGTGCAGAGTCTCCACGCAGAGGGGCCGTAGCTGCCACCCTGTGTCCTCAGGCCACTCACCTGACTTGGGCAGGAGGGCCAACATATCCTTGGTCAGGCCCATGGTGGGAATGAGCTGCATGAACTTCTGCAGGAGCTGGGGGCTCACATCCTGCTCCCTTGCTGCAGCCACACACCCAAAGTGGGGGCTGGTGAGTGCAAGGCATCCCAGCAGCCAGCCCCACACTGGGGGTCCAGGTACAGTGGGGAAGCAGCTGGACCACCCCAGGGAAGGGCCAAGGTGAAGCAATGAACATGCAGGGTGGACACCAGGCAACCCACATCTGCCCTCGGCTGGCAGCAAAGGGGCACAAGCCCCTTGGGATGAACACTACCCATTCGCTTGGGGTGGTATGGGGTGGCTGGAAGGGCTGGGTTGCTGCAGCTGGGCTTGCACACTGCAGCAGGCTCTGGTTCAACTCCTCAACAAGCTGGACATATCTTTAGTGCAAGGTTTCATTCATCCCAAAATTAATTCCCTGGGTAATGAACATGGGATGTTGCTGCTGGTGGCCCTGGGTAGTGGTGGGAAGCCCAGTCCTTGCCCACTGCTGGTGCCCCCATCCCTTCCCAGGTCCCCACTCCCAACGCACTGAGGAGCTGCAGTGATGTGCTGGGCTCTGCCTTGCTGTGATGGGCCTCGTACAGGATGGCATAGTGGCTGTAGTCTGTCTCCATCACACACAGATCCCTCTTCTCTTGTGCTCCTAAGGACCCCAGAGGTGACCAGTTGAGTAATGTGGTAGAGTCTGAGCCCTCCCGGGCCCTGCTGGGGCCCACAGCTCAGTGCTCAAGCTTCAAATTTGCCTGAGGAGGGTATAAGGAAGGAACCCCTGCTCAATGTGGAGGAGCCAGGGGCCCACCCACCCACACCCTCTCACTGAGCTGTGGAAGCAGAGAGGCCAAGACCACCTCCTAATGCTTTCAAGGCTTAGGGGCTGGGGATGTCCACCCTCTGTTTCAGGGTACCCCTGGCTCCCAAGCCCCTGCCCACACATACCCATGTAGTGCCTCGCCTGTGCACTCTGCTGGAAGAGCAGCTCAAACTTTTGGCATTTGTCCATCCTGGAAGAGGAACATGAAAAAGTCAAATGTCTCTAGACACCACATGGGAGGGCAGTGGGGTGGTGGGCACAGGGGGGAGCCCAGCCTGCCCAGGGGGATGCACTGAGGCAGGACTGGGCAACCCAGAGCAGTGGGGGAGCTGCTGTGCTGGGGAAGGGAGTCCCTGGCCCATGGGGACACAGCGAGCAGGACAAACACTTACAGGGGCCAGACCAACTTCAGGGCCAGGTCCCCTTCTGGCATGAAGCTGATGATGGCCGTGGATGACTTCATCCCATCCTTCATCTTCAGGAAGATGGAGCAGTTGGAAGCGATGGCTGTGACATGCCACACCCCTGCAAACTGCAGCAGGACATCACCAGTGGAATTTGGAAAAGTTGTGGGGACCTGTCAGGGGGACCTGCATGCCTCCATGGGGGCCTGGCAGCCCATGCAGAAATTTGCCAACCTGCAGTGGACCTGCCACTGTCTGTGGGGATCTGCCCTCCACCATGAGGAACATGACAGCCCACTGTAGAAACCTGCCAGCTGGTGGTGACAGACCTGCCACCCTCTGTGGGGACCAGCCAGGCAAAGATGAGGACCGGCCACCTTCCTGCGTGCAAAACACCCTGTCCTGCCCCATGCTAAGAGTACAGGTACAGCACCTGGCCCATGTTTCCTGGGGAAGTGCCACACGCTTGGGGATATTATGGTCCCACCTGTTGGTGTCCTTGCAGTAGGGCTACAGCTGGCACTGGACACAGCAGCCAGGACTAACCTGGTTTTGCACAGGCTCTCTTGGAAGCTGCCCTGGAGTTGGCTCAGGAATGGGGATGGCAGGTGCCCGGGGGTGCAGCACAGGCCACCTGCCCCAGCCAGCCCCTCCAGCCCAGGCAGGATGTACCAGGCAGCACCCTGTGCACTCACCTTCTCGGTGTCCAAGTTTGGCTGCACAGGGACCTGGGCCCCTGCCTGCAGCAGGCAGAGCAGGGCCAGAGCCAGGCTGGGCAGTGCTGCTGTCATACTCGCCCTGGAGGGGATGTGGGCAGGAGAGGCTGCACCTACCTTTATAGCCCCCACTGCTGGCAGCACTCCTACTCACGCCAGCTTTATGCAACAGGTTACACAAGAGCAGGGATAACCTGTGCCCGGCTTAGGTGACAGTGCTGGCCCTGTCGCCCCCAGTTCCAGATGAATGCAGCCTTGTGTGAGACCCAGCCCAGAGCACGCCATGACCAAGTGCTGCCCTGTGCTCGCTCTGTGTCTGGGGAGGAGTGTGAGGTGCATTCCAGGGGCCCCCTCCTGGCTGTTCCCATTGGTTCTAAGGTCTGTCAGTGGTGGGATGGATCCTGCCTCAGAACCCTCAGTTCCAGGGAATGGTTGTGCTGGTGTTCTATCCCAGACTGAGCCACAGCCCAGTGCCCTCCAAAGAGATGGTGGCTTCTTAGGCTGCTGGCAGTAGGCTCAGACTCCATTGCTGGAGAGGGTCCGGTTGATAGGATGGAGTCCAGGGGGTGGCCAGAGCTCAAAGACATCCTTCTGCTTCATGTCCATCATTCCCCAAACTGCTGGAGACTCCCTGATTGCCCATCGCCCTGTTCCCATGCTGCCAGCCTGCTCTCCCCAGGAAAACCAAGGCAGGGAGGCTGGGGGAGCCCAGGGTACCCAAGCGGCAGAGGGGGACCAGATGCCCCAGTGGGTCCCAGTCTCAGGGACCCTTTTTTCTGGGGCAGGGCAGGTTCAGTGGCCAGGCAGCACCATTGGGCAGGGCTGTGAGTGCACACCGGGTCTCAGCCTGGCTGCCCCACAGCCAGGAGCTGGGGTCAGCCCTGACCGCTAACCCCAGTCCCAAGCCATGCTTTCCCCTCCCCATCGCCTTGATTGGGGTACAATAATCCAGCAGGCAAGGACTAGTTTTTATGGGCTTTAATCGAGAGAGGGATACAGGTATGGGTTGTGAAGCCAGGGAGTGAAGGCTGCTGCGGTGCTGGGGGACCACTGGGGGTCAAAGGGGGTAGGGTGGTCACCAGCTTGTGGTGCTGTTGGGGCTTGGGCTGGCAGCAGCTGGTGGGTCCGCCTGGAAAAGATGGAGGGTGAGCATGGTTGAGCTGCAGGAGGCCAGGTTGCACACAGGGGGGACATGGGCCTGGCCAGCCTCACACTGAGTGGGCAGACACCCCACAGGGCTCGGTGGGGGATCCCCAGTAGGTGTGAGGAGAGGAGCAGCCTGGGGAAGGGTTGTGGAGGGGCTGGGGACTCTGTGGGGTGACATGACTTTAAGCATCTCCATTCCCTCTCGCAGGACTGGTCTGAGCCCCAGTGAAGGCAGGACTCACCTAAGCAGCATCTGCCATGCATTTGTCTGCAGGAGGAAGAAACAGGGAGATCAGCTCCTCTGGGGGCTGTAGGACCTCAGCCTCCCTGAGGGATCCTGAATGGGGCCATGGCTGGCCCCATGCTGGCCCCATAGAGAGGCAGAGGTAAGCCAGCAGGGTCTCCTTCTCAGTCCCTACTCCCTGCCACCATCCCTGTGCTCCCAACCTCACCCGTCTGGGGCAGGATGAGGATCTCGTCGTCTGTCAGGCCCTGCTCCTTGGAGAACTGGGTGAACATCTCCAGGCGCTCAGGACTCAGCTCCTTTGTTCGGCCTGCAGCCAAGAGCAGGGTGAGAGGCAGTTCCCCCCATACCCACCAGCACAGGGGCACAGGCACCCCAGCCATCATTCCCCCAAGGTCACTCTAGCTTGGGAAATGACCTTAACCCCGCCCTTCTCCCATGGGAAAGACAGAATCCTGGGGGTGTAGACAGCGTGGGAGTCTCGGGGCAGACGTACTGTAGAGCAGCACCATGGTGGAGGAACCAGTGCCCTTGGAGATCTGGGTGGCCACCAACGCGTACTCGTCGTAGTTGGTCTCCACCACATGGATGTTGTGCTTGCTGCCCCACCCTGTGAGGGACATGGAGCACAGCTCAGCCCTGAGCTCCAAATCAGTCCCAAGGCAGGAACAGGGGCAGCAGGACTGTGATCATGTCTGGGGCTGCCCCAAGGAAGCTGGGCACTCACGTGGGCTGGTGTAGCTGAACCGCCCTGGCTGCTCTGTCTTGGTGTAAAGACTGTTCCTCGTCACGCACTGGTCACCCCTGGGGAGTACAGCAGCAGGGGATGCACCAGTGGCCACCCCCAGTACCCTCTCCCCACTCATCCCCTCCCCATGCCCCATACTTGGGGTAGGTGGAGGTAACTTCCAGGTTTCCCTCTGCGGTGGCAGAGATGATGGTGGTGCACATCTTCATCAGGTGCCTCTTCTCCTTGAACCAGTTAGAGTTGGAGGCCAGGCCGATGCTGTACCATCTCCCTGTGAGCTGCACACAAACTCCATTCAGCCCCAGCTGGGCACAGACCCTGTCTCACCCCTCAGCCCCCACTAGCCCCAGCCCAGGCTATGTCCCTCTTCCGTGGCAGCCCATTCCCTACAGCAGGACAGTGTCCCAGGGTCCTCATTTCACAGGGAACTGCTACAGCTCTTGGCAACCCCAAAACCCAGAAACAAGGAAATCCGTTTCATGACATGCCCTTCACTGCCCTTAGGTATTTCCTTCCTCTTCTCCCCAAGGCCAGGGAGTGTGACAGGACTGCCTGGCTCTGAGATACCATTCCCATCCATCTGGGGGTTGTGAGGAGGGGTCAGGACACTGGGTCCAGCATGGCTCATTCCAGTCCAGTGTATGGAGCGAGCAGTGCGATGCCCCTGAGGGGAACTGCCAGCCTTGGAAAGGAGCTGTGCTGGGATCACCCTTGCAGCACATCCCAAACCCCTGTCCTTGCAGGAAGTGCCTCCCTCCATCCCCATCACCTCCCTGGGGTGGCTTTGTCCCCCAGGACTTTTCCAAGGGAGAAGGGATGTAGGGGATACCCCAGCACAGGAGCCCTTGTTTTTCTGTGGCCCTGGGCTGGGATCGTTGTTGGGGAGGGATTCTCATGGCCCAGACTGAGATTGCATTTCTCACTCTCCCCTGTTAAGATCCCTGTGCATCCACACCCACCCCACAACACAGCAGCAGCTCAGACCCATGCCTGACCCACGGTCCTGCCCCACAGGCTGGAGCCTGGATGCTGGATCCCTTCCAGAACCACCAAACCCAGGTGCTGTGGGGTCCCCAGGCTGGGGGGCTGCATGTGCACCAGTACGAGCCTGACCCCCCATCCACCTGCACCACCCCCTCCTCACATTTTCAGGGCAAGGATCCCTCAAAACACCCCAAACCTCCACAGAGATTATGCCAGTTGGCCTGAGTCACCTTGTCCTGCTGGAAGTCAGCTTGGACAGGAATGCTGTCCTGCGCGTGCAGTGTCCCGAGCAGGGCCAGCCCCAGGATGCTGAGCAGTGTGGCCTGCATGGCAAAGCCGAGCTGAAAGCTGGAGGCAGAGCGCTGCTGTGCTGGAGAGTTTGTCGAGCCCCTATTTATGGGCAGGCGTTGCGGCGGCCCCCGGGGAGCCAGCCCTGCCTCCCCCCGTGCCGTTATGCAAGCTGGAGCAGGACAGAGCACTGAAGCCAAAGGGCAGGCGGGGGATCCTGTGAATGCTTCCCTCCTGTTGATACGACATATTTGCTCCAGGGTGCCAAACTGCTCTGCAGTGAAAACAGCCAGCGGCCCGCGCAGTGGCTGCCCTGCCCCCAGTGCTGCTGGGCTGGGGTGGCAAGCAGCCCACGGAGAGGGGCCAGCGCTGCCCTATCCACACAGGGTGGCCTCACTCGGACCCAGAGTGGGGTTTCAGTGAGACGGAGGAAATGGCCAGTGCCTGCCAGGTTCCAACCCAACCAAAAGGGCTTGACACCTGCATGTGCTCCTGTGGGACCCTCTGTTTTGCCCTGACTCAAGTCCCTGCACCACGCAAGGATGTATCTCTGCTGGCCCCAGTACCCTCGGGGTGTGTCCCACTGGTGAGCCGGGGAGCCCATGTTCAGCTCTCTGGGGACCAGCATGCAGCCAGATGCACCCTAGAACTTGACACCCCAGTCACCCCACCACCCTGCACCCTTTGCTAAGAGGGGCTGGAGACGCCCTCCCCCTTGGTTTGGGGTCACCAGCGGGTACTAAGATGCCCCCCTCAATCTGGGGACGCCCCTGCAGGGTATGTATGCTGGGTGCCAGCAGCAACGCCCACGGGTCTGGCAGGGTTTGGGCTGGGCTGGCCATGTTGGGCAGAGCCCCAGCCCCGCGGCACAGCCCTGCCAAGGTGCTTTACGTAACGAGCATGTTTTCAGAACAGCTGTTTTTCCCCTGGCAGCCCCGCCTGCACATTCCCTTCCCCGCGCCCCGCTGCGAGGCCGACCTGCCCTGCGCGCCCCGCGCCTGTCCGGCCTTGCGGATTTATGAAAACAAAACAAAAGCTGAGCCAGGCAGGACTGGACATCACGAGACCCTGGCTGGGGCTCCGCATGCTGGGCTGGGGCTTAGTCTTCCCCGGAGCTCACCCTCAGGGTGCCGGGGGAGCTCTCTCCATCAGGCACAGAGGCAGGGAGCACCCGGGGTGTCACTGTCACCTGGCACTGCTGGAAGGAACACAAAATCCCCCCTGCTGCCAGGTACCCCCAGCTCCCTGCCTAGGTGCCAGGAGGGGGTGCCCGATGGACACCCGGGTGGTGCCCGGCTCTCCTGGGGGTGGCAAAGCTGGGAGCCAGCCCAAGACCTGGGTGGCAAAACTGGTGCAAGCTCAGGAGTATGGGAGCACTGGGGGGCATAGAGGGACACCAACGGTGGCAAGGGGCAGAAGGAGCAGGGCTAGGGGCAGGACGAGGTATGTGGGCTGTGGGTGCTCACGGCAGCTGGACATAGAGCCTTGGGCATAAGGTGCGTGTTTGCACCCAGAAATGGTTTAGCCCCAACGACGGATGGGCTGAGCCGGGATGAAGGGTGTGGGAAATCCTTGGGGACCAGCCCAGCTCTCCGGGGCTCTCCCCTTGCTCCCTTATCCCCCTGCCAGGTGCAGCCACTTCGGGGTGCAGGTAAAATGAGCTGGATCCAGCAGGTCGGGGGGTGGCCGGGCTGGACACGGCTGCCCCGCACGTAGGTGGTGGGAACAGGGACTGTCTCCGGACACATCACGTGGCTTCCCTTACATAATCCCTGATAAACAACATGTGTTACCAGTTCCCGCTAGGATTGCAAAATGCCGGTGCTGGGGACAGAGGGCTGCTCCCCGCCCCGGGGGCTGCGGGGGGGAGGCAGAAGGGGCCCCGCACTTCCCTGCTGCCGGGCCGCTCCCTGTCCCCGCCTGAAGTCAGTGGCAGTGGCTACCGCTTGACTGCAATGGGTGGCAGGATGGCCTCGCCCAGGCTCCACACACAGGGAGGAGGGGTCCGATGAGGGTTGCAGCATTAACCCTGGGGGTCTCCCGTAGTGGAAGACCCTGCAGCCCCCCCCAGTCCCCTGCCTGTCTCTCTGAGAGGTGGTGACTGTGCGGCCAGAAGTCCAGCGTGGTCAGCAGCCCTCGGGAAACAAACTCCGCAGGGCTGGGGTAGGGGAACGGGTTGTTTGCTGACCCTGGAGATGGGAAGCAGGATTGTGGGACTAAGATTTTCTCCCCTGGGATCCCTCAGTGATCTCCCAGCTTGTTAGGGGAAAAAGCAGATGCTGTGCTCTCCCCAGTGGCCCTAAGTCCATCCCCCCTGTGGCCCCAGGCACGGTGCTGTTCCCCTCAGTACCAGGCTCTCCCTTGCCCCTGCCAGCTGGACCACAGGCACCACCACAATTCTGCCCCACTGTGTCATGGCTGGGGAAGGCTCAGAGAGAAGATGGCAGGAGTCTGCATGGAAGGGGGCTGCACAGCAGTGGAAGCAGTGCTGGCCTGGCCGGGGCAGACCAAGAGGTGACTAGCCTGTACACAAGCTCTTCTCTGAGACATTTATTGGGGTGTTGCTGGCTGCTGCAGGAGAATGGGGCATAAAGCAGAGAGGGAACACAAGTTGGGAGGCACAGGCCAAGGATAGACGCAGCTGCCAGCACAGCTGGAGGGGCTGAGGAGCCCCAGGGCTGGCTCCAGAGCTGTGGAGCAGCAGTGGGAGCTGACGAAAGTGTGGCTCAGATCTGTGTGGCCAGTCGGCAGCTGGCTGAGGTGAGGTGAGCTCTGGGACACCCTGGCAACTTCATCTGCAGCTACAGCTTCATTTCTGGAATGAAGAGAAATGCTGAGGGGCTGGGGGGGGGGGGGGGGGGAGGGTGTGTCCAAGCCCAGCATCAGGGCTGGAGACCTACCTCTATCTCCCCAAGCACCAATGACAAGTGATGGAGTTGTCCCTACGGACCCCAGCCTTCACCTCAGGGTGCCCCTGTGGCAGGATATCTCATCCCAGACCACCCTTCACTCCAGGAAACATCAACATAGATCCATCCCCCATGTGGGGGGTGAGTGGGGTTTGCTTTGCCAGGATGTACCTGATGCCCATCCTGAGTGACAGTTTGCCACACAAGAGCACAGACTCTGTTATGAGGAATGGTCTGGCACAGGAGAGGCTGTGCCCTCCCACACTCCTGGGGCGGGACCACAGAGCCACGGTAGAGTGTGGATCTGGCCCAGTGTGCCCAGCTCACTGCCAGGAGAGGGACACTTAACTGGTGCCCAGTGTGGGACCAAGCCTGGCACATGGGCGCACCCAGTGCATCACCCCACATCGCCAACTCACCATCGAGGATGTGAAACTCATCTGGAGAGTCACAAAACCCTGCAAGAGACAGAGCCAGGGGGGATCACCTTGTCTAAGACCTTGCACCCTCCAGCCCCTGCACCCCCAGGACATTGCAGGGCACAGCCCCATCTTTGTCCCCGGGGTGACCGGAGCATTGGGACAGAACCCACATGGGTCTCCCTGAGGACTGTGTGCCACCCACCGTAGGTGGGGAAGTGGTAAATCACATCCTCACTCAGACCCACAGCCCTGACGCGCTGCTCAAACTTGTCCATGACGGCGTCACTGACCACGCTGGTCCGTCCTGCACATGGGGAGATGCCATCAGTGGCCTCAGGCCCTACCTGGCCCTGGCCCAAAGCCCCCCATGACCCTACACAAGGCTCAGGGCCTAGGGGGCTTTCAGCTCAGAAGAGTGGGTTCCCAGTTTTCCTCTTACCTGCTCCCCCACAGCATCTGGGGACAAATCTCCAGCTGGGAATGACCCCCATTCCCACGCTGGGTCCTCCAAGGCTTCAGCTGGCCTCTCCTGAGTCCAACAAAGGCTTCCCACCCCTGTCCTTCACCTGTCTTGAGGCCCCAAGCCCCAACCTACCATAGAGCTTAACAGAGATGCTGCGGCCCTTCTGGTAATAGAGGATGACGAAGCTGCTGGCATCAGCCTCACCCACCACCACATCCACCTTACTGCTTTTACTATGGCCTGGGAAGGACGAGAGAATAGTCCAGTTAGTCCCAGTCAATCCTGGTTAGCCCCAGCATCATCCAGGGCCTTCATTTCACCACAAGCCAGGCGTACATGGGGTGAAAATCAGTGCCACAGGCACCAGCCCATGGTATCACCCGTGATAGCATCCGGCACTTAGGGCCTCAAGACGTAAAATACTGGGAGTGCACTGGGAAGAGGGACATTGGTACCAAAACCCTGCTGAGAGCAGGACTGGGGGGCTCCACCAACCTCCTGCCACCCCAGACCAGTCTCCCTCACCCTTCAGCAGGAAGCGTCCGGGGGCCTGGGCGGGAAGGTAGTGCTGCCTGATTTCCCAGCACATCCTGTCCCTGCATGGAGAGAGAAAATGTCAGTACAGGCAGTGGAGAATCTTCCCAGGTCCCTGCCCACCCCGCCTGCCAAGGCACACACACTGTCTGGTTCCTTGGGACTTTGTTTTCTCCCTGGGGAAAGATGTACCAGAACACCGGGGAGACATTGTGAGAGATGCTGAGCCCACGAGGTCAGGACCTCAGGGCCCACCAGGCTGGGGAAGTGCTCACAGATGTGCTAAAAGTCCCCATCCTCAGATATGCTGCCCCTGGGATAGTTCCAAGAGCCAGTCCTGGGCTGGGCAGCCATGGAGCCACCACATGCCTTAGTTTTGCCAGCCTGGCTGTTCTCACACTGACTAGCCTGGGCACACCCAGCCCAGCCTGGGCTAGTGGCCACACAGGTGGCAGTGCCCATCATGGCCAGGGTGCCCATCGTGGCCAAGGCTTCTACTACAAAACTTCCTGGAGGGTATCCCACCCACACCCAGCTCTGGGGCAGCTCTGTCCTCTTTGGAGTCTGTGGCCAGGGCACTGGCACTGCTCTGACCTGCTTTCAGGGTCCTCATCCCAGGGCACCAGTCCTGTTCTGACCTGCCTGCAGCATCCTTGTCCCTGCCCACAGCCACTATGCCCAGCATCACTCACAGCTTCCTGAAGGTGCTGACGGCCAAGCTCTGCCCATCCAGGACGGTGATTGTCATCGTCGTGGCCTCCAGCTGGTGGCTGTGCTCTGCCAGGTAGCTGCAGCGGGAGGCCATGCTGACCAGGAACCACTTCCCTGAGAGCTGCATGGCACAGGGGTGGCACAGGGCCACAAGCCTGAGGTGCCACCACTCAACCACCCTGAGTACCCTCCTTCCCTTCACTTGGCACCTCTGCCCACAGCCTGTCCCTTGGGGTGCCTACAGGGCACACCTGCCCTTCTTCAGGTGCTGGTAGGTGGGATAGCAGGGCAGAAGGAGTCTGACATGGGGACAGACTGGAGGTGTGTAGGGGACGTCCTATGGCTCACACTGCCCACAGCACTGCGGGCACCCCAATGACACAATGGGTATGTGCCGGGCATCACTTTATACTGCAGCCCCAGCTCGGCCCCACCAGCAGAGCCCTGAGCTCAACCCAAGCCCCAGAGTGAGGGTGGCTGCACTGGCCCTGCGGCAGCTCCAGATGGATGAGGACGGGGGTCCCTGTGAGGCTCCAGCCCCTGCACCTGCTCTGTGGACACACCTGCAGACAGCGCTGGGGCTGAGCTGAGCTCTGCTAGCCTTGGCTGTGTTGTGTGTGGGGGGCACCGAGGGGCTCGGGTTTGGGCATGGGTTGGGGAGGACAGTGGGGGTCAGCCCCTGAGAAGGACACGGGACGGGCTGCAAGGGTGGGCCCGGGGGAGAAGGGCACAGGAGGTCAGCGCTGGACGAGGATAGGGGAGGATGGGCTGCAAAGCCGGGTCTGGGGGGGGGCACACCGGGGGTCAGCCCTGTAGGGCACACGGAACAGGAGCCACCGAGACTCCCTGCAGCCCACCCAAGTGCGGGGTCAGTGGATGCCCACAGACCCCTCTGCTCAACCCCTCACCTGGTGGAGGCTGAGCCCCTCCTGAGCCGCCACCTTCTCCAGCGCACTCTGGGGTGGGGGCGGCCGCCGTCTCTGCGCCGCCCTCTGCCCCCACGCCGTAAGGAGCAGCCCGAGGAGCAGAAGAGTGCGCAGGGCCGCCATGTGCCGGTGTGCGAGGCCAGCGCTGCCTGGAAGCGGCGGGGCCAGACGGGCACGGCAGGCAGCCAGGAGCCCTCGTGGGGCTGGACGGGGTCATGGCCGGGGTCAGCGCCGGGCTAGGCTGGAGCCCAGTGAGAAGGGCCCGGACAGGGCCGGGGGTTGAGGAGGGGCCAGGGCGGGGCCTGCTTGCAAAGGGGCGTGGCCTAATGGGGCATGGGTGTGTCATATAGGTGTAGTATATTGTGGTCCCTGATGGGCGTGGTCGGACCGGGCGGGGCGGGGCAGCGCTGCCGGTGCAGGGGCACTCGTGAGCGATCGTGCCGCGCTCTGCTCGCTGCGCCTGGCAGGCTGCGGGGAGCTCCTGTGCTCGAGCCGTCAGGCCTGCAGCCAGACGCGCCCGGTGATTGGCCGGCGGGGCAGCGCCGGGAGCGCCGGCCGGAAGTGGCGCGGCGGGGCGGGGGCAGCAGATGCGCCGAGGTGCGGGGGGACAGCGGGGACGCCGGGCACGGCACGGCACGGGGGGAACACGGGGCACAGCATGGGGGGACACCGGGCACAGCATGGGGGGAACACCGGTCATGGGAGACCCCGGGGAAACCGGGCACGGCACAGGGGGACGCCGGCCATGGGGGGCACCAAGGCACCGGGCATCAGGCACGGCACGAAGGGAGAGCAGCGGGCAAGGCTCGTGGGGGCCCGTGGACCCTGGGCGGGTGGGAGTCCCCGGTCCGGGCCTGACACCAGCACCTCGCTCGGTTCCAGGTGCGGCGGCAGAATGACACGATGGACGCGGGCTGCCCCCGGCTCCCAGACACCGTCCTGTTCGAGATCTTTCTGTACCTGGACCACACCGACGTGCTTTCGGTGGGGCTCGTCTGCCAGCAATGGCGCGCCGTGGCCCGCGACGAATTCCTGTGGAAGGAGCTTTTCTACCGCTACTACCGCGTGTCCCGGGATGTGCCGCGGCACCCAGGTGCGCTCCGGGGCGCGGGGCTGATCCCGGGGGGCCCCACCTGCCGTGAGCCCGGGATGAAGACTGCGCTCCCCCTGCTCTGCCCTCTGCCCGCCGCTGTCGGGGTGGTGGAACCCTTGAACCGCATCGCCTCAGCTGTGTTACAGTGTCAGGGGCTAAGATGTGCACGGGGAGGGCTCTGGATCTGCCCAGACCCTTCAGAAACGGGGGTCAAAGGGCTTAAAATGCTTTGCCTTTCCCTTCTTTTAACGGAAAGGAGGTTTCTGAGCTCTCTAGCCAGGTGCTGTCTGTAGCTGCTGTCCAGGGATATCCTGGGTGTCATAGTGAGTCACCACATCCTGCTGCATCCCAGCCTGTATGGGATCTGTGGAATCACTGCTGGCTTGGCCTTTCTGGAACTTGGCAGCCCCTCTAATGCAGCTCTTCTCCAGCTGGACCAGGCACTGCCACAAGCACCATTGGCTGCTCCGAGGGTTCCAAGGGCCGGGCTTTGCAGGGACACCTGTGCCTCTCTGGAGGATGTATGGCCCTGTGACAGCACTGGGGTCATGTGCTGAGTCAGCAGCTGCCCCACGGCACCAAGGCAGGTTGGACTTGATCTGGGCTCACAGCAGAAGCTGACAGAGCCTGGCAGGGCTGTCCCTGGCCAAGCTGTCAGAAGGCTTGGGGGTGGCAGTTGTGTGATCACACCTCTGCTCCCTGCTGAGCTTCCAGTGCTGGAAGTAGTTTGGTGCAGTTTGGAAGGATGACCCAGCTCTGTCACACCAGCTGGGACCTGGCAGCAGGAGCCCTTGCTGCCCAGGGGGTGTCTCTCCAAGCAGCCCATTCCCAGTGTGTTGCAGGACGCGGGAGGGCTGTGCGGGGGCCCCTAGCTGTGGCTGAGGGAATTGATCCTGTCTTGTGAGTTGCAGTGGCTACAGAAGGACAGGAAGAAATGTCAAGGAAGAAATGCCAAGGCTCAGGCAATGGCAGCTGATCTCCTTGCAGCAGGAACACCACTGCAGAAGGGCTCTGGGAGGAGGTGGATGTCAATGGGATTCCTCCAGGCTGTGTGACCTTGCTCTTGAAGACCCTGTGAGCCCTATGGGGCTGAGGATGTTCTCCTTAGGGTTTTTCTGAAGCCTTTTGACCGGGCTCATTCCCTCCCCGCCTCCTGGAGCTGCTTAGTCAGCTGCCAGCCCTGTTCTTGAGCACTAATTAGGATCAAGCAGCTGGTGTAGCTCAGTAACGTATTCAGGCACCTCCCTGACTGCTGGAACTGTGGGCACCCTGCACAAAGCAGCAGGACAGGGACAGCTGGCAGGCATGGGCAGGGAGCTGGAGCATGAGTTTGGGGAATACCTCTGCCAGCCTGGCTGCCCTGGGCAGCCCCATGGTTAGAGGAATGGTATCCAGTGGGTCTGTAAGATGAAATGTTAGGTTTGCTTGGCCAAATGGGGCCTGCCCAGACTTTTCCTAGCCGGATGGGCTGAGACCAGGAGGTTCAGAGGGGGTTGAAGCCCAGCCTTGAGCAGCAATGGGACGTTCTGGCAGCAAGCTGGTCCCTGCCTGCAGGAGCAGGTGCCTCCTGGGCTGCAGCGTGTTCCAAAAAATGCTTCAGTCCTGTTCAGTGTCACTAGGAAAGTTGGCCCTCATCCATATAGATGTCTAATCCTCTTTGCTTCTCTGGGATTTGCTGCTACAAGAAATCTGTAGGCTTCCTGGCTAGGCCCTTCATTAAGAATCTTCTTTATTTGTCTTTTATTGTCCATCAGTAAGACTCTTGTGTGTATGCCCCAGGTTGTGCTCAGCACACTGTGCCCAGCTTGTTCTTCTCTCATTTTTTCAAGTCTCTTACCTCATGGAGATGTTTTTTCCTGGCCCCAGACCCTGTCTTAATTCTGTGTTAGACAAGACAGAGATAATCAGGGTATGGCAAGGAGCAGTTTTCCAGCTTCTTTCTTGTCTCACCTGGTTGATTTGGTTTTGCTGGAGCATGTGTTCCTTCTTAGGACTGTTCTGTCCTGAGCAAGCTTTTAGTCTGACAGGCAATGCCTCTGCCTGGGCTGTTCCAGCAGAAGCTGTGCTGCTTTGGAAAGCAGACGTGTGGTATGGAGTTGTGTGTGTACTGTAAGAAAGGAGTGTTGTGTGTGGGAGTAGGGAAGCTGCTGAGGGCTGGTAGCTGAGCTGCAGCCCTGGGTTGGTGCCCCAGCAGAGCTCCTGGCCTTGCTCACAGAAGCCAGGACTGGTTTATTAAAGCCTAATGCCATGTTTAGCCTAGCTCTGCATCCCTCCACTCACACTCCTGTCCTGTGTCCCTGCTCTGTGCTGCAGGTGCTGTCTCCTGGTACGATGAGTTCCAGAGGCTCTACGACACCATCCCTTGCGTGGAGGTGCAGGCCCTGAAGGAGCATAATGACCAAGTTTTGCACCTGAGCTTCTCCCACTCTGGCTGCCTGTTTGCATCATGCTCCAAAGACTGCACGGTCAAGGTAAAGTGGTAGGTGCCCTGCCCAGCCCTTGTAGCCTTCGTCCAGTGGGGCTTAGCCCTGAGAGCAGCCTTTGGGAAGTCTGTAGAGAAGTTTGACCAGATGTCCCTGGACTTGGGCTGGTTCCTGCCCAAGCTGTCTTCTAAGCTATAGAACTAATGACTCTTGTAGATGTAGCCTTGAGGGCTGTGGATTCCAGCTCCAGCCTGAGTGTATGTGGAGGTGGCTGCGGTGCTTTGCTTTCTAGGTGCCCTGTTGTGCCCTGGGTCTGTTGAAGACTGGGGAGATAATGATCCACTGCAGAGGATCATGTCTTGCCTGCATGGTTGTCCTGGGAGGAATCTGTCCGAACATGCTGGAAACCCAGCTGTGATAGCACCATCCACTGCCTGAGCACCCTCTCTGGCAAATGGAGCAACAGTTCTCCATTTAGCCCCTCTCCATTTTCTGTCAGGGGAATGGACAGAGATATGGTGAGGGGGAGGCAGTTAAATAGAGTTTTTGATACTGTTTGTCTTTCATGTTCCAGTGAGTACTGGCAGAACAGATAAAACAGAATCACTCTCAGGCTGCTCAGCAGCTTCCTGACTGTCCGTCTCTCTAGATCTGGAGCAATGAGCTGGACATCTCCCTGCAGCACAGCTCCAATATGAGGCCATACAACTGGAGCTACACCCAGTTCTCCCAGTTCAACTCCGATGACTCCCTCCTGCTGGTATCTGGTGTCTTTGTGGGGCCTCACAACTCCTCCTCAGGGGAGATTGCTGTGATCAGCATGGGTAAGTGGGGCTTCCCTAGAGCTCCCTGGGGCATATGAATGCTGGGTGAGGGGGTTCCCTTCTCTTTGGGTGTGCAGTAGCCTTGCCTCAGCTTGTCCTGACTCCTGAGCTATGATTCCAATCACAGTTCTAGAGGGGAAACCTCACAGACAGCCTTAACTGTATTTGGGTCACTACAGCAGCATCTCAAGGCAGTGTTTCATCTATTTAGCCTCACTTCTCTTCTAAGTGCCAGTCTGGGTAAGGGTTATCTACATCACTCATCTTGAAGCCCCTGCCTCTGGCATATATGGTGCTTGGCATAGAGCCACAGAAACCCAGAATGGTTTGGGTTGGAAGAGACCTTAAGGCTCATTTCAACCCCCTGCCATGGCAGGGACACCTTCCACTAGCCCAGGCTGCTCCAAGCCCCATCCAGCCAGGCCTTGGACACTTCCAGGAATCCAGGGGCAGCCACAGTTTCTCTGGGCACTCTCCCAGGGCTTCCTCACCCTCACAGGGAACAGTTCTTCCTAATCCCATCTATCCTTGACCTCTAGCAGTGGGAAGCCATTCCCCCTTGTCCTGTCCTTCCATCCCTTGTCCCAGGTTCCTCTCCAGCTCTTCTGAAGCCCCTTTAGGCACTGGAAGGGGCTCTAAGTCTTCTTCCCGGAGCCTTCTCTTCTCTAGGCTGAACACACCCAGCTTTCTCAGCCCATCCCCAGGGGAGAGCGGCTGGATCCAGCCCTCAGATCACCTCTGTGGCCCTAGTCTCACCCTTAGGTCTCACAGGGCTTTCTGAGGTGTTGTCACC